TAGAAACTAACATTTCCCAGCATCCTTTGAAACCAAGTATGTCCACTTGTCCAAATTATTTGCAATAGAATGTGAGTAGATGTGTAGTGTACAACTTCTGTGTCATTTCTTCAGAAGAGAATTGTTTGCTTTCTACTTCCTCTTTCCTCCCTCCTGCGTTCTAAAACTCAGAAGAAATACAAGATCAACAGTCTAGGTGACGGTACAGCAACAAAATAGAAGGCACCTAACCTCATATAGTAGACAAATCCACTTGCCCCAAACTCCCTTTCTTTTTTTTTTTTTTTTTGAGAGGCAGTCTCGCTCTGTCGCCCAGGCTGGAGTGCAGTGGCGCAATCTCGGCTCACTGCAAGCTCCGCCTCCCTGGTTCACGCCATTCTCCTGCCTCAGCCTCCAGGGTAGCTGGGACTACAGGCGCCCACCACCACGCCTGGCTAATTTTTTGTGTTTTTAGTAGAGTCGGGATTTCACCGTGTTAGCCAGGATCGTCTGGATCTCCTGACCTCGTGATCCGCCCACCTTAGCCTGCCAAAGTGCTGGAATTACAGGCGTGAGCCACCGCGCCCGGCCCCAAACACCCTTTTTATCTCTGGACTATTTTGTGTGAGAAAACTACACTTTTGTTTGAGAGAAGAAATCCTCTGGTTTGAACCATTGTATGTTTGGGGCCTCTATATTATAGTAGCTTATCCTGTATCGTAAGTACACTTGTGAAAGAAGTAATAGAAATTGATCATCACTTTTTTCTGACATGGAAAAATGAGGTTAAAATGAATTCATGATATATGTTCTGCACATTTTTCCTAGTTTGTATTTACTTATATTTTTGTTTCTGGTGGTTTTATATGTAGAAATTGTTTTAATCCTATTATGTAAGTATATTCAGAAATAAGGAATGATTATATTTTATCTATTACAAACCATGTTTATACATATGTATGTATAAGTATTAGAACCCCATTGATCATGATTTTTCTAATCTAATTTATTATTTAAAGTATAAATAATGAAAAGTTTTATTTATCATTAAATATCCCTTTATAGCATATTTTTATCATTTTATGGAACTCAATGATATGAATAGGTAATAACTTATTTAAGGCAATTAATCAATATTGGCATATTTTGTTTTTCCCGTTGTTTTACTGTTATATTTGTTTTACTACCATGAATATCTTTATGCATAAACATTTTCACACATTTATTTTTTGTAGAATAGAATGTAAATAGTGAAATAACTATGTCAAATAGTACAAATATTTCTAAAATTTCTAATAATTCCTGTCAAATTGCCTTCTATAAAGAATGTACCAAATTACATTCCCACCTATAGTGTGAAAATTGTTTTAGATTTAACAATTTACTATGACAAGAAGAATATCTGTTTTGCATTTAGTCAATAAAGTATAAATACATATGTAAATGTGCCCAAATTATAAATTTATAGCTCAATGAAGTTTCACAAAGTAAAACCGTTGAACCAGCATTTAAAACAAAACAACAAAGAAAAATAGAACATTACCAACACTGTAAAATCCTCATTCCAGTGTTTACTAAAGACTGCTACTACCAAGAATTCTAACATCACAGATTAGTTTTGCCTGTGTTTAAACTCATATAAATGGAGTTATACATTAAATACTCTTTTTTTCTCTCTGACTTCTTATTAACATTATGCTTGTGAGACCTATCTATATTGCTTGTAGTTGCAACTTGTACATTTTCATTGTTGAATAATATTCCACCGTGTAAACATATAATTTGTACATTTCTCTGATTAAAAAAAATTGGGGTATTTGATAATTGTTGGCAATTTTTAAAGTGCTATTACAGATATATGTGTAAGTGCTGTTTGGTGGACCAATGAACACATGATTAGGACATCTAGAGAGAAATTGTTCGGCCTTAGAGTATACATATGCTGATTTTGACTATATTCTGTCAGTTTTCCAAATCCGTAGTACCAGCTCTAGTTGTACCACATTCTTGTAAAATACTTGTTTTCTGTCTTTATTATTTTAGACTGTCTGGGTGGTGTTCAGGGACATCACATTTTGGCTGTAATTTGCATTTCTCTTAAAAAGTAATGAAGTTGAACATCTTTTCAAAAATTATTGAACATTTATTTTATTAAATGTTCTGTTTTGTGAAGTGTTGTTTTTTAAGATATTTTCCCATTTTTCCATTGTATTATCTTTCCTTTTCTTACTTATTTTTAACAGTTCTTTATATAATACATTATGGACACGAGTCATTTGTTAGATATATTTGTTGCAAATATCTTCTCCCAGTTTGCAGGTTGCTTTCGCATTCTTTTAATGGTGTTGTATGATAAACAATTTTGTTTTTTTGACAGAGTCTCACTCTGTCGCCCAGGTTGGGGTTCAGTGGCACAATCTCGGCTTACTGCAACCTCCACCTGCTGGGTTCAGGCGATTACCCTGCCTCAGCCTCCCGAGTACCTGGGATTACAGGCATCTGCCATCATGTCTGTCTAATTTTTTGTATTTTTGTAGAGACAGGCTTTCACCATGTTGGCCAGGCTGGTGTTGAACTCTTGACCTCAGGTGATCTGCCCGCCTCAGCCTCCCAAAGTGCTGGGATTACAGGCATGAGCCACCGCACCAGGCCTAGAAGTTGTTTTTTTTTTTTTTTTTTAATATATGAATAAAGTGCAATCTATAATGTTTTTCCTTCATGCTTAGTGCTTTCTGTGTCCTGTTTAAGAAAACTGCTTACTCCAAAGTCATGAAGATGATCCCCTGTGTTTTTTTACATTAGGATTACATTTTTACCTTTCCCATTTGGGTCTGCAATCCACTGAGTTTTTTTTTTTTTTAATGTATTATGTAAGGTGGAATCAATATACATATTTTCCCCGTATGGATATCCAACTAATCTTTTCAAAACCACTTTTTGAAAAGAAAAATGCTTCCTCCACTTCATTGAACTGTCACCTTTATCATAAATTAGGTAACTGTGTAGGTAGGTATGTTTCACAGGTCCATATAAGGTAGACACACACACACAAACACAGACACATTTTAATCTTTGAGACAATATCATACTCATAATTGTATTAAATTTTGATATCTAGTAGTGGATGTTTTGGAGCTTTCTTCGTCTAAAAGGCTGTCTTAGCTATATTTGGCTCTTTGTATTTTTTTTTCTTTTATTTTTTGAGACAGTCTCACTCTGTCGCCCAGGCTGGAGTGCAGTGGCGCAATCTCGGCTCACTGCGACCTCTGCCGCCCGGGTTCAAGCGACTCTCCTGCCTCAGCCTCCCAAATAACTGGGACTACAGCCGCCTGCCATTGCGCCCGGCTAATTTTCGCATTTTTAGTAGAGATGGGATTTCACCGTGTTAGCCAGGGTGGTCTGGATCTCCTGACCTCGTGATCCGCCCGCCTTGGCCTCCCAAAGTGCTGGGATTACAGGCGTGAGCCACTGCACCCCGCCCACCTCTTCGTATTTTCATACACATGGTTGAAGTCTGCTCATCAACAGAAAGTGAGCTGTTGAGATTTCCATATGGATTGCACTAAATTTATAGATGAATTTGGGTATAATTGACATCCTTAAAATATTGAGTGTTTCCATTCATGATCATGGTAATACCTATACTTAGTTATTCTTTAATGTTCTTGAAACTATTTTATAATTTTCAGTGTAGAGGTCTTGAAAGTATTTAATTAGATTTATTCCTAGATATTTGATTTTTAGCAAAACTTATTGGGCTATAATTTACATACAATAAGATACACACCTTTTAACTATATAGTTCAATGATTTCAACAAATGTATTTATCAATGGAGTCACTACCTCATTAAGATACAGAATGTTTTCCTCAGCTGAGAGAGTTCCATTATGCCTCTTTGCAATCAGAAAAACCCCAACTTTCAAGCCAGGCAAAAACTGATTTGATTCAACTTATATCAGTACAGATTAGTTTTGCCTGTTTTAGAACTTATATAAATGCAATCATGCAGAAAACAATTGTGGCTGGTGTCTTTATAGATACAATTTTTTTTTTCATTTTTTTAAGATTCATCTATGTTACTGTTTGTATCAGTAGCTTGTCACTTTTTTATTGCTTAGCAGCTTTAAAATGTATGAATACATCACAATTTGTTTATCAGTTCACTTGTTGGACATTTAGATTTTTATCAACTTTGGGGCTATCATAAAGGAAATTTCTATGAACTTTCCTATGCCAATATTTTTGAGAAAATATGTTTTAAAATCTGTTGGGAAAATTCCAAAAAGTGGAATTTCTAGGACATATGGTAAGCCTAAGTTTAACTTTTTAAGAAACTGCCACCAAGTCTTGGAGTGGTTGAACCCCTCACCAACAATCAATGAGAGTTTCTATTGTTACTATTTTCAAAAGTGCTTGGGACTGTCAGACATTTTAAGTTCAGCAATTATAATGGGTGTGCAGTGGTTTTTCATTCTGGCTTTATTTTACATTTCCCTGATAGTTAATGAGGTTGAGCATCTTTTCATGAGCTCGTTGGTAATTTGTGTATGTAGTTTTGTGAAATGTTTATTCAAATCTATTATTTGCCTTCTTGAGTTTTCGAAGTTCTTTATATATGCTCTGAATTCAAACCCACTGTCAGATACACATATTGTGAATATTTACTCCCAGCTTCTCACTTCATTTTCTTAACCATGTGGTTTAAATGGTAGTTTTTAATTTTGATAAATCCAATTTCTCATTTTTTTTTTGTGATCTGTTCTTTTTCTGTCCTAAGGGATTGTTTTCTCAAAGATTATAAAGTTTTTCTCTATGTTTTATTCTAGAAGTTTTCTAATTTGAGTTTTTACATTTAGGTTTATGACCATTTTGAATTAATTTGTGTATAGTATAGATAAAAGGCAAGGCTCCTGTTTTTCCTTTAAGAATTCTGTTATTTCAGCACCATTTGTTTAAAAGACTATACTTTCCATATCGAATTACTTTGACATCTTTGTCAAAAATTAATTAACAGGCAGGAGGAGGTGAATCCTGGGAGCCAAGGGCAGAGAGAGGCAAGTCCCCAGAGAAGTGGGAATGGCCAACAGCTTCCTGAGAAGATGCCTTCCGTCCTTCCTGGGCAGGCAAGGGAAGTCTCAAGAATACACAAGAGAAGGGAGAGTGGCAGAGCCCAGGCTGGGGATGTTAAAAGGGACTCACGGTGAGGATGGGGGCGGGCCCGAAAGTCCCACCTGACTCCAGGCTGCAGGAGGGAGCGTGGGACGGGGGCGGAGCCGCTGGCGATGACAACAGCCCCACGTGATCGGCCAACACTGAGTCTTGCCTCTCTCTGGCGTCGGAGCCGCCGTCGCTCGCTCCTTTCTCGGCTGTGGTACCTGTTCCCGGTGGCCCTGAGGACGTGCGGGCCAGGTGCGGCCCCGAAAGCAGGAAGCGGAGGGGGAGCAGGTAAGGGAGACGGAGGGGGTCCCTGGGGTTGGTGTGGGGGAGCGGCCCCGGCCTGCGGATGCCCCACCCCCGAGGAGCCGCGCTGAGACGCAGCCGGTGCACGATGCAGCCCCGGGGCCCCGCCGCGGGACCGCGAGCCTTTAGTGAGCGGAGGAGTGCCTGGCCCCGCGGGAGCCGGCGGTCCTGAGGCGGCGGTCCTGAGGCTACGGCCCTTCTGAAGCACCTGCCTCCGCCACCAGCGCAATCTTTTCTGAGATCCCTGCTCCGCCCTTCTTGATGCAGAAAATGGTGGTCAGCTTGGGGGGCGGGGCGGCTGAGGCGCGGGGAGAGGGCGGCGAGGAGGGCCCGGGCCCGGCGCGGGGAAGGGGCCGGGTGGCGGCGGGTCCTCGCTAGTGTTCCGCTGCAGCAGCCTCCACTCTTCCCACCCCGGCCGTCTGCAGGTCTGCGAGGCTAAGTGTCGAGGCGACGCACCTCACGTCGAGAATCGGGAGGAGGAGGAGACTGCAAGGATAGGCCCAGGTCGGTGCGAGGGACGGTGGCGGGGCGGGGGTCAGAACATGACGAAAGCCCAGTCTGGGACCCCAGTCGGTGCCTTCACTGCTACGCTTCGCAATCCCCCACCCCCACCCCTTCTTCGTCCTCCATTTTGGCGCCTGCAGAGGCCTGGAGATGGATCTGCAGAGAAGATGGTGGGCTTTGCGGGAGAGAGGGGCGCGGACTGCCCCCCCCCCCACCCCGAGGGTACACGGGGCCTCTCTGGTGGGAAAAAAAAATGAAATTTAAAAAAGGCCTTTGAAATCCAGGGCTCTGAATTTTGAAAGGTGGGTAGTCGGGCCTCTGTCCTCGGTGCTGATCAGTTCACCAAGAATTGAGTCCGTTTTCTCTCTGTCTCATAGGAGTAATGGAGTCCAAAGAGGAACGAGCGTTAAACAATCTCAACGTGGAAAATGTCAACCAGGAAAATGATGAAAAAGATGAAAAGGAGCAAGTTGCTAATAAAGGGGAGCCCTTGGCCCTCCCTTTGAATGTTGATGAATACTGTGTGCCTAGAGGAAATCGTAGGCGGTTCCGTGTTAGGCAGCCCACCCTGCAGTATAGATGGGACATAATGCATAGGCTTGGAGAGCCACAGGCAAGGATGAGAGAGGAGAATATGGAAAGGATTGGGGAGGAGGTGAGACAGCTGATGGAAAAGCTGAGGGAAAAACAGTTGAGTCATAGTCTGCGGGCAGTCAGCACTGACCCCCCTCACCATGACCATCACGATGAGTTTTGCCTTATGCCCTGAATCCTGATGGTTTCCCTGAAGTTAATAGGGAGACCCCAGCTTCCTAAACTTACACATTTGTGGTGTACCTTTGTCGTAAACCTTTTGATGTTACCTATTTCTTGTGGGTCTCCTATTACCAGCTTCAAACTGAATGTTGTTTTGACCCAGTTTGTAAGTTTCTGTCAGCAGGGGAGTTTTACCTACTGCATGGAAAGATGCTCATTATATATTGTGAAGTTAATAAAATAGTTTTAAAAACCATTCTCTGCATTCTTTTTTACTTTAAATCTTAAATATGAACATAAACAGTCATATATGTACACATATATACACATATATAGAAAATCGTGTTTATCTTTGTGGTAGAATTAAGAGGGAGTTTATTCTTGCTTATCCATAATTTCTTATTTTTTAAAATGGAACACGTATTACTTATAAAAAGCAATGTGACCACCTTATAAAAGCAATGTGAGCACTTAATAAACACTTGTGACAGAATCTCAATTTTAACTTGCTTCTGGGATCTCTTTTTAGAAATGTTTGAGAGACACATCTCTTTGAAGATCATAATATTTATCAGTAAGATGAAGACAATCACCTCCCAGGCTTATTGTATGGACCAGAAAAGGTAATGAGGTTGTAAGCTTTCTCCCAAGTTCTTGTTCTTACTGACATGCATGACCCAACCCTTTAGATATTCCCTTCTGTTATTAGAGGAAATCTCCAAGGTGAGGTCTTCCCTATATTCACAAGTCCAGTGGGCTAAGGAGTAGGTACTTTCATTCCTCTGCTGCTGTGCTCTATTCTCATCATCTCCCCTGGGTATTACTCTGTTTTCTAGGTTTTGCTCCCTACACTGGCTCCTTCCACTGCAGATGTTCAGGAATCCTCAAAGTGAGAAAGTCCCACCAATTTCTCTGGAATTTCCAGTGGATTGAATCCTTGCTCTACTCTACAAAAGAGTGAACAAATCCCCTCTCCCTGCTTTGTTTCATGGAAAAACATTGTCTAGTTCTTTCCTTACAGGTAGTTCTGTCCCAGGAAACCTCCTCCTCAGTATAGCAGACTATGTAAGATGTGTGAGGAAGCACAGCCCACTTTCAATCTGAGATAGTCCCACCTCATACCAGCTCACATTCACCTGAAATCCATGAATGTACAGAATTTTGTTATCTATATGGAGCTGGACATCAGGAAATCACTTAGTGAATCAATGGATACACAAATGAGATCTTTATGAGAAGTCTATGGGAAGACAATTGGGGTTAAGTGTCCCAGCAGAACTAGGGAAATAAAATCCCCGTCAATTTGTGCTAATTAGATGAAATACACACATTTTATGTATGAGGACAGTCTCATAAACTTAAAGTCAGGATTCCAGAACAGGAGTTGGCAAATAACCCAAATCTGGCCCACTGCCTATTATTTGGCTTATAAGAATGATGTTTACATTTTTAAAGGTTGAAAAACTTGAGGATATTACACCAAAACTATGAAATTCAAGTTTTGGTGTCCATAAATTTTTATTGGAACAATGGCCTGCTTATTCATTTACATGTTATCTATGGCTATTTTTGTACTACAGTGGCAAAGTTGAGTAGTTGTGAAAGAGATAGTATAGGCCGGGTGCGGTGGCTCAAGCCTGTAATCCCAGCACTTTGGGAGGCCAAGGCGGGTGGATCACGAGGTCAGGAGATCGAGACTATCCTGGCTAACAAGGTGAAACCCCGTCTCTACTAAAAATACAAAAAAAAACTAGCCGGGCGTGGTGGCGGGCACCTGTAGTCCCAGCTACTTGGGAGGCTGAGGCGGGAGAATGGCGTGAACCCGGGAGGCGGAGCTTGCAGTGAGCCGAGATCACGCCACTGCACTCCAGCCTGGGAGACACAGCAAGACTCCGTCTCAAAAAAAAAAAAAAAAAAAAAAAGAGATAGTATAGCTAGCTTACAATGACTACATATTTTTTATCTGGTCCTAACAGAAAAAGTTTGCCACTCCTGTTCTAGAATATAACATTGCAGTGGAACTTGTGAAACCAAAGGGGAAAAGTGGATAGGCAGATGAAAATGTCACATAACATCACAAACCCCAGACATGAATCAGATGCCTAAGTAATTTCAAAGCTCTTTCTCCTTCTGCAGGCGCTTAAGACACAAGACAGAAGATTATAGAGAGGCTAGAGTTGAAAGGTCAGGAAAATTGATAAACAGAGAGGCTTATGTCCTGCCAGACTTTTTACTTTTGATTGTCAGTGTTGGCACCAGCTTCAATGGAAGAAAAAAAGTGTTCATGAGGAGAAATTAAATTCATGTGTGAACTGATATCATATCCATGATAGAAAATGCATATCTCTTCTATGTCTAGGCAGATTGAAGTTGCCTGTCAGTTTCTCAGAGAAAGTTGAGTTTGAGATTCTACTCTATGAAGAGAGTCTTCTGCTAACCAGTTTCTCTTGGCTCTTCACAGAGTGTTTCTGTCTGAAGGGGCAGTTGAGGCAGTAGCATGTGAGTGATCAGGCTCCATATAAAATGCTCAAGCAACTACCAGCAACTAGCAGAAAGTGAGCAAAAGGCAACAGAGAGCAGAGCATAACATTCCCTCAAGGGGAGCAGCTATGTCTAAGGTTCCTAAGGCATTGCCTATATATCATTTCTATACGTTATTTGGTGAGCCTCCTTTTCTCCTTTACTGTGGCCATTCTTCACAAAATGTGTAAATTCTTCCCATAAAAGCCCACAAATTCTGACAAAGAGCAGACAGGGAGCTTAGAGAGTGTGCCTTGGTTCTCAAAGAAAAAGGATGTTCAAAAAGGATGTTTGAGATGTAGATATGGATTAGACCATTTGGGTTTAGCACATCATGTACATCCAGTAAATACTTGTTGAATGAATGAATGAAAAACTGAACAAAAGAAATACAGATTTAGTGATATTCAGCAAATAGTAACAATACATTTTTGGATCCTTACATATTTCTAACAAAATTGAGATAATGTGGATAATATCTCATAACTTTCTAATAAAACAGTTACTGTTTTTTTTTCTTAAAAATTTCAAGTCCGTTGAAGGAAATGTAGAAAGTAAACTTAAAGACTATTGTATGACCAAAGGAAGTGCTGCAGTTTGAACATTCTAGTCCAGGATAGGGCAAGAAGGGACACAGACACTGGACTCTTCCAGGAATTCTAGATAGCATAGGAAGCGCACTATGGTTAGAAGTAAAATAAAGCTTTCATGATTAACCGTCATTTAAAACACTAATCCACATTTATGCTTTCAATGAAAATGGAGTAACAGGGACTGGATTTACCTCCCTAACTGAAACAACTAAAACTTGGACAGAATATATGAAACAACACTTTTCAGTCACTTATCATCTATCAGAGAGTGGAGGGCAAAGTTATCTGAGAGAGGGTAAATAAGTAACATGAGCCTTATGATTGTCTCTGACTTACTGGATATTAGAATTAAAATGTATGTTTTAGCACAAAAGCCAGAAGAGGGGGGAAATAATAACACAAAGACCAGAAGAAGAAAAATGAAAGTACACAGTTTTAAGGTTCTTATTCTATATATTAATATCACTTGACTGTAGATTCTGATACATTACAGGTGTTTACTATAAACCTTAAATCAACCAGTAAAGTTATAACTAATAAGCCAACATATGAGGTAAAATGGAATCCTCAAAATAATTGAAAGAAATTCAAAAAAAGAGAACAAAGGACAGGACAAATGAAAAGATAACAAGATGTTTGACTTAAACTCAAATATCAATAATCACATTAATGTAAGTGGTTTAAACACCTCAATCATAAAGCAGAGATGGTCAGATTGAATAGAAAAGAAACTCACCTCCATGTGTCCATGTGTTCTCCTTGTTCAACTCCCACTTATGAGTGAGAACATGCAGTGTTTGGTTTTCTGTTCTTGTGATAGTTTGCTGAGAATGATGGTTTCCAGCTTCATCCATGTCCCTGCAAAGGACATGAACTCATTCTTTTTTATGGCTGCATAGTGTTCCATGGTGTATATGTGCCACATTTTCTTTATCCAGTCTATCATTGATGGACATTTGGATTGGTTCCAAGTCTTTGCTATTGTGAATAGTGCCACAATAAACATAAGTGTGCATGTGTCTTTATAGGGCTTGGGGAGGGATAGCATTAGGAGAAATACCTGATGTAGGTGACAGGTTGATGGGTGCAGCAAACCAACATAGCGCGTGTATACCTATGTAACAAAACTACACATTTTGCACATGTACCCCAGAACTTAAAGTATAATAATAATAATAATAATAATAATAATAAGTATGTGAAAAAAAGAAACTCACAAATATATGCTGCCTATAGGAACCTTATTTTGAATTTAAAGATACAAATTGTTTACAAGTAAAAGGATGGAAAAGATGAATAATTTTATTACAAATCAAAATGATGCTTGAATGACTGTATTGATATCAGATACAATAAATTTCAGAGCCAAGAATAATACAAGGAATAAAGGAGGTCATTATATAATTTTAAGTGGCATATATATCAAGAGGACATAACAATTCTAAGCATTCTTGTACTACAGTGCTTCAAAATACATGAAACAAAAACATAGAACTGCAAGGAGGAATAGACAAATTCAGTTACAGGGATTTCAAAACCTTCTCTAAAAATTTGATAAAATGGAAACTCAGCAAGTGTCTATAAGACTTGAACAACAGCATAAAACTTACCACCAATAACAGTAGTTTATATGTTTGTTTCACATGCACGTGGAACATTTACCAAGGTAGTCCATATTCAGAGCAATAAAATTAATCTCAGTAATGTTAACAGGATTCAAATAATAAAACCTATGTTTTCTAAGCACAATGGAGTTAAATGAGAAACCAATAACAGAAAGATCTCTGCAAAATCCTCAAATATTTAAATTAGCACAAAATAACACATGTCTAAGTAACCCATGGCCGAAAAGAAATCAAAAGGGAAATTAGAAGGTACTCTGAAGTGAGTGAAAGTGAAAACTCAACATATGATAATTTGCGGAATGTGGCAAAAGAAGTACATAGGGGGAAATTTATAGCACTAAATACATATATTAGGATAAAAGAAAACCCTATGATTATTAAATAATGAAAGTTTTACTTAAAATCATCCCTCCATAAAAACCTCTAGGTTGAGATGGCTTTACTGGCAATTCTGTCAAACATCTAAGGATGACATAACACCAATTCTATGCAAAATCTTCCAGAAAATTGAAGATGAGGAAATACTTTCCAAGTCACCCCATGACATTAGAATTGTCCAGACAACTAAACCAGATAATTATATTACAAGGAAATATAACTATAAGCCAATATCCCTCATGAACATATATGCAAAAATTCTCAACGAAATGTTAGTAAAATTGAATCCAGTGATATATAAAAAATACAATACACCATGATCAAAAGTAGTTTTTATGCTAGGGAATCAAGGTAGGGTTGATATTAGAAAAAAATGATAATTTACCACATTAACATAGTAAAAAAAAGTTATGATCATCTCAATGGATAATGAAAAAAAACAGTTGCCAGAATTCCAATATTCACTACTGATTAAAATACTGAGTAGCCAGGTATAGATAAAATACCTCAACCCAATAAAATGCATCTACAAAAGCATACATAATGATGTGTACATAAAGACTAAATGCTTTCCCCCCAAGATGGGAAACAAGGGAAAAATGGACACTGTCACAAAATTGACTCAACATTGTATTAGAAGTTCTAGCCAGGGCGGTAAGACAAGAAAAAGAAATAAAAGTATTACCTATTGCAAAGGATGAAGTAAAACAATTTTTATTCATAGAAAACATAATT